ATAAAAGCTGTTCAATCTGTTTATTCAAAGTAGTGGTCAATTTTAAAGTGTGGACTAGGATTATGATGGGGAAGTCACGCTCAATTTGTAGGTTACTGTGGAGTAGACTAAACAATTCATGCTTTGAATTCATGAATTAAAAGAAATGAGCAAACCAAGTCCCATAACTAGAGTGTCAACCCAAACAAGGTCAGAGAAGGTATTATTGTTATATAGTCCAATCTAGCAAGCAGGCAGAGGAGACTCCCTTTCTGGTATTCAGCTTTCCTTTAGAGAATCAAAATTAGATATTATGGATGCTGACATGGGCATCTGGGTTCATGGACATAAATTGGAGTCACAAGATAAATTAGGATCTTATGCAGGACTTTGCTTATGAAACAAGAATCCATTCAACAGGGAGCAAAGAGACCAAAGCCATCAAAGCATGAGCAAGGCCACCTAGCCTCTGACTCAGGACCATTATGTGGGTGGAGAGGCAACTTGGCCACTACTGCCCAGCAGTGCCAGGCAGCCTAATTTCATTTCATGGGTGACCAGGGGTTTGATGGTTGTGCTGCCCAAGCTATTAAAGGTGGTTAGAAATTCAGAGGGTGGTTGCACCCAAACAAAATAAGTCTCCTTTCCTTCCAGGCATGCTTATATTCCAAATCGAACTTTGTACCTTAATGTTTAATCCACAATGTTATATTCAAACTGCTTTAGCCTGAAGCCCTTTGTGTTAATATAGTTAATCAAAAATGGGCAATGTGGGAATCATAAAAAAATTCTTTATTTTATCTTAAAACATGTACATTTGTTCATATTCAAATGTGTTCATTTATTATGGGATTCAGTCGTTAAGAGTGTTGGTCTGAAGATGGAGTTCTAGACATAGAGTTTGTCAATTGCATCATTTATATGTTATCAAAATTTTCCATTTTAGTTTCTTTAAACTGAAAGAGAACATAGAAAAGCCTATGAAACAATATGAATGCAGATTTCTGTTTAGATCTTTTAACTTAGAGACAAACTTCTATAATTGTCTGAACTGTCCCTGATTTGACTGTAGTTTTCCTTACTGGTTTACTTTTTTCACCAGTGAAAAACTTACTCAGCTTACACAATTATTTCATAAGACTTTTTTTTAATTTTAACACTCATATTTTATTAATTTCTGTAATATGTAAATAAATTGCTGGACTTCAATACTGAGTACAACTGCCGTAAAGGGGTTTTGATGTAAATACAATTTGAAGAACATACAGATGAAAAGATGGTATCAGAAGTACTGAGCTTAGGAAGAGAGTGAACTAAGACCACGTAGGGCTGCATGTGCCTCGACATATTTGACGGAAGGAACAGAGGACGTTGGTCAATGCTGTGGTTAATAGGGTTTGTTAAGAGTCACTGTAGAAAGCAAAGATAGAAAGTTGCATTCATAAAGCGGTATTTTCTTGGAAAATTCTAGCCCCCAAGGCAATTTTTCCTGACCAAAACACCTGAAACTCAGTGTCCTCAGCTGAAAAATAATTTAAATAATAATAATACCTGCTATCCACCCTACCTACTTCAAAGGGTTGTGGAAGGAGCTAAGTGATGTTGGTGAAGGTACTTAAATCTCTGAGCCTAGCACTAGGAATAAGATTAGCTATAGTAATAATAATTTTAGACAATCTGACCCATTCTATCCCTCTCATATATTAAGATAACCCAAATGAAGCTAAGCATGAAGATTTTATTTACTTATAGCCACATTCTATGTGATGATGTTTAGCTTATAGAGCAGTATCTGATACTTAAATATACAAAATCTAAAAGGAAAATAACTTAAAAATAGATTTTTTTCAGGCAGTTAAACCACTTTCTTTTTCATTAAACACAAATAGCCCTAAGTTGGTGGGGGCCAGAAGGAGAATCAAGGAAAAAGAAAGATTATAAAAACATGAATTTGCGGCTGGGCATGGTGGCTCATGCTTGTAATGCCATCACTTTGAGTGGCAGAGGCGGGTGGATCACCTGAGGTCAGGAGTTCGAGAACAGCCCAGCCAACATGGTGAAACCCCATCTCTACTAAAAATACAAAAATTAGCTGGGTGTGATGGCACACACCTGTAATCTTAGCTACTCGGGAGGCTGAGGCAGGAGAATCGCTTGAACCTGGGAGGTGGCGGTTGCGGTAAGCCAGCGCTGTGCCACTGTACTCCAACCTGGGTGATAGAATGAGACTCCAACCTGGGTGACAGAATGGGACTCTGTCTCAAAAAAAAAAGTTTGCACTTCTTTGTGTTACATCCTACATTGCTGTAAACCAATTACAAAGAACTGGTTAATGTCCAAAATCTTTTCAGTCAGGGTTTCATAATTATTGTTTGCACAAGAGACACAGTCCTCTGGAAATCCAAATTATGGATTCTTAGAATTAATACATAATTTTACTGAAAGGATAAGCCTAGTTAGCAAAAGAATAGTGATGATTTGGGGTTATATTCTGCTAAACAGCATGCTATTTTGAATTACCTACAATGAATGTGGTTTCACAGTATTATCTGTAAGCCAGTGTTTTTCTTCCTTGCATTTTCTGCCTCTTTTATCTCACTGTTAGCACCACAATAAAGAAACCCTAGAAAGCTGTACAGGAAAATAATTTGAACGTGAACTTGTACTCTCAGAAACAACTGCATTTGCAGCTCTTTCCCACTTCATATTCAAAAGTACCCACATTTATCTGGTCTCTTTTTCTACTGTCATCTAAATGGGGGAAAAATGTATTCAGTGTGTAAAAACATGCTATTGTATCTCAGAGAGGAGATGGGATGCTAATTAAGGGTTATTTGAATGAACAAGTCACACTGCATTGTCTACTGGGAGCTGGCTGCCAATTGCTTTTTTGGTAACAAGTCAAGAAAAACATTCAAGAAGGCCCCTGCAAGCTTGGGAGAGAAGCAAGGCACATTTCCATTTATCAAGTAGGTGCAGAAGCATGTTCAAGTAAGTATTAAGAATCAGGGTACAGACAGTAAGCTCCTGCCCTGCAGCTTTTCTTATTGGTTTTGAGAGCCACCTTCCTAAAGAGAGGCCTCCTGCTCAGGTCTGATCGTGGACAATGGGGCACGTACGACAGACTGCTGGACTGCTGAATGAATGCCTCTTTCTTTGTTCAATAACTTTTTCAAGATTCTTTGTCATTCTTCTTGGACTCATCGGAAGGCATGGGTTTTAAGATACGCAGTAGCTCGGGTCTTACAGCAAAATAATTGATGCTTCATTGAAAGAAACCAGGCAAATTGGTTAGTATGATTACCTTTAACAAAGTGGGTAAATTTTAGACATTTGGCAACTCATAGATTTGGAGAGTAATGAGTTGCTCTATTTTAAAAAGATTTCTTCTCTTAATGTAAAGTCAGCCAGAGTAAGCCTTTTGGTCTGATAGCCTGAGAGTCTTGGGTGGCATGTAAATAAAGGGAAACAATTTACTTCATTTGAAAAAAGGGTCAAAATGTGGAGGATGTAAATGTGCTTTTATTGTAATGGATGAAAGAAATGGATTTCCTAGGTGAAGTGACTTCCTTCACTGTGCTAGCATGTAGGGTAGTGGTACTTAGTGTGATACAGCCCTGGAGGCATGTTTCTGATTCTTTACATGCCTTTTCCTTCAGTTCTGTAACTTTGCGAGTCTTTTGCTGCTCTTTTAAATCTATAAGTATTTAAATTTTTGTCAAGTGTGTTCATATGCCTTTGACATAGATGTGAAGAGACAAGTGTCCTGGGTATTAAAAGGTCCTGATTGAAGGCAACAAGTGAAAGAATTTCTATGTAAATGTGTGGATGGTTGGGAGAAAATCAGTGCTATTTAACTATTTCTGAAATTAACATTGCTTCCAAGAGCACTCAAAATGAAACATCAACATTTGTCATTTTACATTCTTTATCATCAAAATTTGTGGTAAAAGTTATTTTGCAGTTTAAAAAGCAAAATAATATGACATTATATGTATGCTTGAATCTCACTTTGCAATTTTTAATTAATAATTAAAAATTGGATATATTTTAATTTATATAACCAGTAACTGGATATAATAATATGAAAATAATATTTAGGGCATGAAGATCTAATCACTTTGGGCCAAAAATCTATCACCCAGAAGTTTTTAAATAACAATAATAATATGTTTTTAAGTGCTTATTCTGTGCCTGGCTTTATCCTAAGTACTTTTTATGTAGCAAATCATAAAGAAACTATAACCAAAGGAGTTGGGTATCTTGTTCATGGATTCACAGGTAATGAATGGTAGAACCAAAATTTGGACCCAGGCTCTGAGTTCAAAGTCTGCACATGAACCACCATGTATGTTGCCTTGCTCGCAGTATAATTATTATCACTCTTTTTAAGCTCCTCAGGAGGGTCCTTTATAAAAATATTTTTAACATCTTTTTTATAAATTAGTTTCATAAGTGAAAAAAACCATTGGTCAAGGAAAACATAATACCATAGGAGTGTTAATGGTCATTATATCTGCCTTACATATAAGGGAAACTTGGTTCTGTGGCATCTAACATATTAGATATTCTCATTAGACACAAGTTTGTTGAAGCAGGAAAATGTAACTTTCCTCAATTATTGTGGGAAAACATTCTTTTTATTTCTAGTCAGCACAGGATAAATTCTAATATTTGGATCTTAATTGCTTTATTCTTAAATATTTTAGCTTAGTTCTTAATTTCTCTGTGGAGTTTTGGGAAATTTTGCCTTTCTTTTGTATGGAGTCAGCAGTGACTGACAGGCACATGTAAAATTGATACTTTTTTAAAAATCTCTTAAGATATAAGTTACATACCATAAAATCTGGCTGTTTTAAGCTTTATAATTCAGTGGTTTTAATAGATTTATAAAATTATAAAAATTGATATTTGATTTTTTTAAATTAATCAGGTAAAACTCTTGAGATGCTTAAATGAAAAGTACTCCAAGGCTAATAAAAGCTATTAACGTTTGCTGTATTCTCTTTCCCCTCCCCCAGAAATGTGTGCTGTACTGGCCAGAAAAGAGAGGGATATATGGGAAAGTGGAGGTTCTGGTTATCAGTGTAAATGAGTGTGATAACTACACCATTCGAAACCTTGTCTTGAAGGTAAGATTATGTAGCTATAGCCATCTACAAAGTAGGTGATGTTAGAGGATTACATTTCTACTTTGAAATTATTTATCTTAATAAGTACTACAAATTCAATTTAAGCAAATTAAATAGTTTTAAGATCAAAGAGAAACTATAATCATTCTCTTATGTATTTTTTGTTGTCAACTACTATTAGTATGTAGTATAATTAAATCAATGTAAGTAGACGTTAAGAAAATTCATTATGTAGGATGTTGTGATCCTCTAATTTGCATTAATAAAACATCTCTGATTTAAACTTTTGAAAGCTTTTAACTAAAGGCTGTGCTGGAGACTTTGCCATGATTTTTTTTGAGACGGAGTTTCGCTCTGGAGTGCAATGGCACGATCTCGGCTCACCGCAACCTCCGCCTCCTCGGTTCAGGCAATTTTCCCGCCTCAGCCTCCTGAGTAGCTGGGATTACAGGCACGCACCACCATGCCCAGCTAATTTTTTGTATTTTTAGTAGAGACGGGGTTTCACCATGTTGACCAGGATGGTCTCGATCTGTTGACCTCGTGATCCACCCACCTCCGCCTCCCAAAGTGCTGGGATTACAGGCATGAGACACGGCGCCCGGCCCTGCCATGATTTTTTTTAATGTCATTTTGGTCTAAGCAGCTTTAAGTGAGGCCTGGAAGCTGTGAAAGTGAAAATCTGCACTTGTGGGTGTCAGTGGGAAGCAAGACAAGCCTGAAGTGTTGATGAGATCTTCAGAAGCGTGGAGTTACAGTAATTTATAGGGATTTTCCCCAGATGAGATTATGTCATAGGAAAACTATCTTATTTAACTCCTGGGCAGCAGATGCTGAGAAACGTTGCCATGGTATTACTTTTGCTTCTGGAGAATAATCACCCAAAAATTTCGATCTTATCTGCAGCCTCACTGCTGGGACAAAATCATCACAAAGAGGAAGAAAACAGAGGCAGAGCTACAGGGATGGATTTTATTGGGAAGTTTGGAATAGGAAGGCACTTACCGAAATCTGTTTTTCAGCAAACATTGTGGAGTGCCGGGTTCATACCACACCCCCACCTGTGCTGGGTTTCAAGATGATGTGTGTGGGCCCTCGCCCAAAGTGTTTCCAATAGAGGGACCTCCTGTAGCTTCTTTATTGCTGGGATTCCTCACTCCTATTAAATACTGGAGTTTGAGATGAGTGTAGAAGTAATAGCATGACTGACATGAAATTAAGTGTTCTATTAATATGTGTATAATAACTTGTCAGGAATGCTCATGGAACAGGAAACAAAATATATCCCATTCTTTCTTGGCTACATTTTCACCTACCATCTTGTTTATTAAAAGAAATTATATATATGCTAAATATATATTTAGCATATCTTACATGTATGAACTATACTATAACTATAGGTAGAGATACAAATCTTCACAAAGGTAAAACTTTCTCACTTCGAGATCAGGATACGGACAGTAAAGTCTTCTCAAAATAAAAGGGCACTCTTCGAAAATCTTGTAGATTTTTTTCCCACCTAGAAATAAGTTGCCAGCAAGATGGGGGTGATAAAAGGCATCCAGCATTGTGGTTTGGATGACTTTTAGTTCCACAAGTGAATGAGGCATTTGGTGCCTGTTGCTATTTTCAGCAAGGAAGTCACACGCAACATGTGAAGCATTACTGGTACACCTCATGGCCCGATCACAAGACTCCAGACAGTGCCCAGCCCCTCCTACAGCTCATGCTGGATGTGGAAGAAGACAGACTTGCTTCCCAGGGCCGAGGGCCTGTGGTTGTCCACTGCAGGTAAGACGTGAATGGTACTTTCTGTCTAAGCAATAGCCCATTCTTTATAAAGTCACAGAGCAGGTAGAAGTGGGTTTTGCTTCCGGGATGTGACTTTGCTGGAAAATTATTTATTGAAATTGGTTAACTGCCTAATATTTGAGTCTTAATCAAGATTATGCTGACAGAAGTGAAGTCATGTTTTGAGGCATTTTTGGAAAACAATGATTACACAACGGGTGAAATACAAGTTCGAAATAAGTGGCTCAGTAAACAGGAGACCTTATTCAGCAGTTACCTGCTTTAAAATACTGATTCATTTAGTCTCATCAGTCTTGTAGGACCAGGAATTAAAATGCATTTTTTTAAATCATCAGTGGCTTTTCTGGGATTTCATGATGACATCTGAACTCTGCCTGGTTTGTATCTTGGTAACATTTATTACCATTTCAAGTTTGGTGAAAACCAGTCAATTATTTTAACAGTTATCTCAGGAAAAACAGATTGAAACAAATTTATGAAATAAGAAGTGAGCAAGTGGTAGTTCACCGAAGGAAAACAAAGTACTGTTACAGAACGTAGAGCACCAGAGGCCAGGCCAACAACAGCAGCAGGGCGTGTGGTGGTTCCTGTCCCTCATCTCTAGTTCAGAACTCTCCTCCTGGAACTCATACCTCCTTCCCCTTGTTTTCCTTTTAATGTAACCAAACTGAAGCAAGCATTTTTAAGGTAATTTATATGATCGACCATTTATTTATTTTGAGACATTGTCTCACTCCATCACCCAGGCTGGGCAGCACCGTGGCACCATCTCAGTTTACTGCAAACTCCACCCCCTGGTTCAAATGATTCTCCTGCCTCAGCTTCCAAAGTAGCTGGGATTACAGACATGTACCACCATGCCTGGCTAATGTTCATGTTTTTAGTAGAGATGGCCTTTCACCATGTTGACCAGGCTGGTCTTGAACTCCTGACCTCAAATGTGATCTGCCTGGGTTGGCCTCCCAAAGTTCTGGGATTACAAGCGTGAGACACCGTGCCCAGCCACCCATTTATTCTTCATGTTTTCTCAAAATAATTTTTGTTGCTTTGTTTAACCACATAGGTCTCTTAAAATGGCTTTTGATAATATATTTAATAAATATAATACATTATTTTAGAGTATAATTTTAGCCTCCTTTTTTGAGATTATGTGATTTAATTAAGAGTACAGTTTACTATGTGTCTATTTATTCAAAGGTAGATAACATTGGCCTTACCCTAAACTTAACTTGGAGCAAAAAAATAAATAAAGCAGCCTAATTGGCTATGCTATAGGGCTGGAACTATCCCCTACCCAAAGTCATTAAACACTCAGGATATCTGAAATGGACTAGTCACTTCCCCTATAAAACCAGCTCCCCTTCTTGTTACTATTTCTAAGAAGACTATCTTTTTTCCAGTCACTCAGCATCTCATGTTGACAATTCTCTCTGGCCCTTCTTTTAACTCCAGCCTCACTATCTAATCAGTGACTAGATTGGCTTTCCCTTCAAAGCTTCTCTCATAATCACCATTTCCTGTCCAGCCACTATAGTTCAGGCCCTTATGACCTCATCCATGTATTTAAGAAGTAGCTGGTAAAATGCACACACATACCGTACTCCCCCATGCCCTCACCACCACCATGGCCTACCTGTTCCCTTCTCCGTCTCACCTTACATGAAGTCTCTGCTCAAAGCTTGTCAATGGATCAGGTGCAGGAGCTCATGCCTGTAATCCCAACACTTGGGAAGGCCGAGGCGGGTGGATCTCTTGATATCAGGAGTTCAAGACCAGCCTGGCCAACATGGTGAAACCCCCCTCTACTAAAAATACAAAAATTAGCCGAGCATGGTGGCAAGGGCCTGTACTCCCAGCTACTTGAGAGATGGAGGCAGGAAAATCACTTGAACCTAGGAGGCATAGGTTGCAGTGAGCAGAGATCATACCACCACACTCCAGCAGCCTGGGTGACACAGCGAGATACTGTCTTAAAATAAAAGAAAAAGAACAGCTAGAGCGAAATTCCCTAACCTTGATCCCACGCATAAATTGCAGTGGTCAGTGAACTCCTTGCAATTATTTGAGCACATTTGAGTATATAAACTCATGTGAATTTTTCTGAAGAGTTGAAGTTTATAGTCTTCATCAAATTATTATTTTTTTTAAAAAAAAGGATGAATTTAAACCTCAGCCTTTCATACAAGATCCCAGGGTACCTTTCTATCCGTATTTCCAACAGTTCCTCTAAAATAATTTTCTCTTCAAGACAAGCTACCCTGCTTATGGTTGCAAATCATATTTCTTGCTTCTCATTAATTCTTTCATTATATATCATTGTCATACTCAGAATATTCTCTCTCATTTGTGACAGCCAAAATACCTGCCATTCATGGGGCGCAGTTCCAATCCCATTTCTTCAATGAAATGAACTTCCTATGGACACTTCAACTAAAAGAGAGCCACTCCTCCCCCAAATTCCTCCGCACTCACGTTTGACAGAAAACAAGTGCCAAATGTGAGAAATAGGCACGTCTGAGTGCCAAGAAGGGAGCAATTAATTCCAACACCATGGGGGCTGAAGAAAACCTCTAAAAATCAGAATAATGCTGAACTGAGCCTTTTGAATACTCAACGTTGTGGTTTTAAAAGGAGGGAGGGCATTTCTGACTGAGGAAACATTATTAACACAGAAAAATTGGAAAATCAAAAGCCATTTTGCAAACAGTTTATATAAGTGAAAATCATGGCACATAGGAAAGAAGAAAGCAAAATACGTAAGGCTTGAAAATTAGTCACGTTCAGATTTTGCAAGGTCACGAATACCTCAGTAGGGAGATTAGACATTATGCTATAACTAATGGGAGCCATCTACAGTTTTTGAGTAGGGAATGTTATAATTCAGTCCCTATTTCAGAAAGATGAACCTAGCAGCTGTGCAAATTTGTCCAGGAAAAGACTTGAGACTTGGAAACTGTAATGAGATCACTGCTAATTTTGAAAAAAGGAGATGTTGAAAACGTGAGTACAGTCTATAGAAAGGAAAGCGTGAATCCCACAGCCTCGGCAGAGATGGAAAATCGAAGAAGCGGTAACAGATTGGATGTGGGAGATGAGAAAGGGAGAGATGTAAAAGATGGCTGCAAGATTTCTAGGCTGGAAAACTTGTGGCTGGCTGGTAATGCCATTGAGGGAAAAGATAATTCTCTTTTAGATACATTGAATTTAGACACGTTGAACTGAAGCAAGTGCAAAATAGTAAGGAGGAGATGGAATGACAATCTAGAGTTTAGGACATTTAGGGAGTCTAGATGTAGATTCAAAATAATCTTTTACATAGAGACTGTTAGTGGTTAAAACTGCAGACAGGGACAGAGAGAGCACGTGTGCTTGTGAGTGTGCTTGTGAGGCTGATTTTATGGACATGTCATCTAAGGCAGTTAAATGTGTAAACCCACCAGGGCAGACATTTCTGTTCAATTATCACCTCTATACAAATCTCTTGGAAATACAGATTTTTAGAGGTGCACCCTCTCCTAAAATGAATCCGGTCTTCAATTGCTCATTTATTCACTAGACTTCTCAACACCAATATGTCCAACACCAAATTCCCTTCCCTTCCCCCTTCAAATTCACACTATTCCAGGAAGCCCTTGGCCTCAAAGCATCACCATTCTTCTTTCTGTCTAGGCCTAGTTGTCTTTAACTTTTGCTTTTCTTGCTTTTCAGCTCCAGTCCTCCAGATTCACATTGATGATGTGTCTAAATCTTCCCCCTCCTTTCTTCTGCTGTTGCCTAAGTGCAAACCTTAATTATTTTTATTTTTTGCTAGAACAATTATAATGCATTTTACTGTTCCCCCCACTCATCACTTCCCTCCACCTCTCTCATCCTACTGCTTATAATTAAATGAAAAAAATCTATTTTAAGCACTTAGCACTGGGCCAGGTTTATAATACTCAGTACATGAATACTATTTTTAACTGTGATTTCAGATTTTAAAGTACCCTTTAAAAGAATGTTTCTTATATTTGTAATTTGCCCCCACTTTTTAAATTCCTTTTCTTTTCTTTTCAGTGCAGGAATAGGTAGAACGGGGTGTTTTATTGCTACATCCATTGGCTGTCAACAGTTGAAAGAAGAAGGAGTCGTGGATGCACTAAGCATTGTCTGCCAGCTTCGTATGGATAGGTGAGTGTCACAGAGGCTTGCCTTCAGTGCAGTGTAACCATTCACAGCCTGATTTCATCTGCCTGACTTCATACGTAAACATTCCAGCCTCTAAGGTCCTAAATCCCTATAGAGATGCTTGTAAAATGCTTAAGTATATACCTTATATTTAAAAGCCCTTTATTTCTCTTTTTTGAGACAAGGTCTTGCTCTGTCACCCAGGCTGGAGTGCCATGGTGCAGTCTCAGCTTTCCTCATCCTCAAACTCCTGTGCTCAAGCAATCCTTGCACCTCAGCCCCACAAGTAGCTAGGCCTACAGGTGTGCACCATACCTGGCTAATTTTTTAGTTTTTTTATAGAAATGGGGTCTTGTTATATTACTCAGGTTGTTCTTGAATTCCTGATTACAAATGATTCTCCCACTTGGACTTCCCAAAGAGCTGAGGTTACAGGCATGAGCCATCACACCTGGCCTGAAGTAAGTAAGTTAGTTAATTAGTTAGTTAGTTAGTTATTTGAGACAGGGTTTCACTTTGTCACCCAAGCAGGAGTGCAGTGGTGTGATTATGGCTTACTACAGCCTGGACTTCTTGGGCTCAAGTGGTCCTCCTATCTCAGCCCCCCAAGTAGCTGGGACTACAGGCAAGTACCACCACACATGACTAATTTTTGTATCTTTTTTTTTTTTTTTTTTTTTTAGAAAGAGGATCTCACTGTGTTGCCCAGGTTTGTCTAGAACTCCTGGGCTCAAGGGATGCTCCTTTCTTGGCCTCCCAAAATGCTGGGATTACAGGTGAGAGCCACTGCACCTGGCCCCCAAAGTTATTTTTTAATCTTTTTATTAAATTGTAACACAATGCACATGACAAAATTTATCATCCTAACCATTTATAAGTGGACAATTTAGTAGAGTTAAGTACATTCCTATTGTTGTACAACCAATCTCCAGAATTCTTTTCATGTTGAAAAACTCAGGACTCATTCAAAAACTCCCTATTCCTCCCTCAGTCCAACCCCTGGCACCTGCCATTCTGCTTTCTGTCTCTGTAAGTTTAAACATGCTAGGTACCTTTTATGTAAGTGGAGTCATAACGGTATTTGTCTTTTTGTGGCTGGCTTATTTCACTTAGCACAGTATCCTCAAGGTTCATCTATTTTGTAGCATGTGTCAGAATTTCCTTCCTTTTTAAGGCTGAATAAGGTTCCATTTTAGGTAACATATTTTGTTTATCCATTCATCCATTGATGAATACTTGAGTTGCTTCTGTATTTTTACTGTTGTAAATACTGCTGCTATGAACATGGGTATGCACATATCTGTTCAAGACCCCGTTTTCAGTTCTTTTGAGTATATCTCTAAAAAGTGGGATTAGTGGATAATACAGAATTCTATTTTTAATTTTTTGAGGAAACCATCATAGTGTTTTCTGCAATGGCTCTACCATTTTACATTCCCACCAACAACATACGAGGGTTCCAGCTTCTCTACATCTTCACCAACTCTTTATTTTCGGCTTTGCTTTTTTGATAGTAGCCATCCTTGAGGATGAGATGGAAGAGTCATTTTTAAAGAGATATGATTTGATCACCTTTGTTATAATCTCTGTTTGGAAAACAAAATTAACAAGAAATTTCTCCTCTTCATTGCTACACAACTAAGCCTGCCTGGGTAAATGGACGGTTGAGTTAGTGATAGAGAAAGTGATCAGATTCTGCTCGAGAGAAGACACAAAATCATGAGCAGCCAGCATCTCTCCTCAGTAATTCAGTGTACTGCAGTGGAACAAGGAATGTTGACCAGACACAGTGGCTCTCACCTGTAATCCCAGCACTTTGGCAGACCCAGGCGGAAGGATCCCTGGAGTTCATGAGTTTGCGACCAGCTTGGGCAACAAAATGAAACCCTGTCTCTAAAAACAAACAACAAATGTTTACTAATCACCTCATATGCCTTCGGCCTTGGTCTAGATGCTGCAAATACTGCATTAAGCAAGAATTTTCTGCTCTCTTAGAATTTACCTGCTAGCAGAAAAAGACATAATAAACAAGCAAACCAAGGTAATTTCAGATAGAAATAAATACTGAGAAGTAATGAAACAAAGAGAGACATAGGCATTGGTTTCCTTGCACTTTAGCCCTATGGCCTAGAGTCTCCTAAAAAATGAAATTATATAGTAACCTTTCTTTTTTTTCTGGAGACAGAGTCTCATTCCATTGCCCAAGCTGGAGTGCAGTGGTGTGGTCATGGCCCACTGCAGCCTCAACCTCCTGGGACTACAAGCATGTGCCACACTCAGCTGATTTTTATATTTTTTGTAGAAACGGGGTTTTACCACATGGTCCAGGCCAGTCTTGAGCGCCCACGCTCAAACAATCCTCACACCTTGGCCTCCCAGAGTGCTAGGATTGTAGGTATGAGCCACCATGCTAGGCCATATAATTACCTTTCAAGCTTTTTTCAAAAAACATATGCTTTGAGCAATATGTCATCCTGGGATTTCAAAAAAAAAAAAAGACAAGATTATTCTGAAAAGTGAGATAATATACACAAAGCACTTGGAATAGGGTCTAACACATAGTAAGCCCTCAATAAATGTTTATTAGGTTATTACCATCTTTATTATTATTAAAATTATCAGTGAAGTTTCTCTTATCTCTAAAAAAATAAAACATTCAAATTTCCCTATCCAGATTAGTTTTTCCCTTCCTGTCCTTAACAGTCTTGTCCCCTTTTAAACAGTATCCCCTAAGTCTTTGTAAGGGTATCTTCCCTCTTGATTTTCTACTCGTTTCTTTCTTTATTATTTTCTCTTTCTGTTAGCATGTAAACTCTAGAGGCAGTTCATCATGGCGGTTAAGATTCTGGGCTCTGGACACAGATTGCCTGCCTGAGTTTCTGTCCCGGCTTCCATTATTTTTTGGTTGGATGGCCTTGGGCAAGTTACTTACTGCTCTTCTTCGTGCCTAAGTCTTCTCATTTGGAAAACTGGAGTAATAATAGTGTATATTTCCTATTGTTATGGTAAGGATGAAAAGATATAACCTGTGTGAAATATCTGGCATGTAATAAGCAAGCATTCAGTCAAGTTTCCACAGTTGTTATCAATATATATAGCAAGGAACCTAAACATGTGCCTATAAACTGAAAATAGTAATATATACCTCACAGGATTTCACTCACATTTAAATGACATTAAACCTGCAATGTACTTAGTATAACACTCAGCCTACATTGCTTATCCTCTCTGTATCCCCCAACCCCACTTTCCTCTTACCACACCCCACATATAACTGTTTCCAAAAATATTTACTTTTTGTACATAAAAAGGATCAGTTCCAGCTGGGCGAGATGGCTTACATTTGCAATCCCAGCACTTTGGGAGGCCAAGACAGGCAGATCACAAGGTCAAGAGATTGAGATCATCCAGGCCAACATGATGAAACCCCGTCTCTACTAAAAAATACAGAAATTAGCTGGGCATGGTGGCACATGCCTGTAGTCCCAGCTACTTGGGAGACTGAGGCAGGAGAATCACTTGAACCCGGGAGGCAGAGGTTGTAATGAGACAAGATTGCGCCACTGCACTCCAGCCTGGCAACAGGGTGAGATTCCATCTCCAAAAAAAAAAAAATCAATTCCAATTGTCCCTCTTCCTTTTATAATTGCTCTCTTAATCTCCTGAAATACTTTTGCCTTCCATCCTGTGTAGTTTACCTCAGCTGGACTAGGGTCAGTTGCTTCACTTCAAATTTGGGGACCTATCTTCACCCAGGAGAGGGGTCCCTAACTCTGAGAGAAGCAGCAGCACTCAGTCAGCCAGGGCTGCTCCCACATTGACTTTCGTCTGTCCTGATTTGTGCTTCTGTAAACAAGGCTGACACCTGAGACCCCAAATCACCCGGGAAACTCTAGTTTATGCCTTGGGGTCCTGTGTTCTTATGTAGTGCCAGAACTCCATGAAGGCCATATACACGCGTGGATCTAAGTGACTTCAAACCAGGCTGGCCTCCAACAACACCTGTTCTGGTCTCATTTGGAAGAACATGCTTAAAACCAGGCTTGGTTTGCTCTTTTTCTTGGCTCTTGTTTTGTTACCGTTAATTATTGCCTGCTCACCCTCCCATCTCCCACCTCCCCTGTCCTCTTTCATAGCCTAATCTCCACCTTGGATTCCACTTTGCAGTCACATTCCCCTTTCAGGTCTACCAAATTGTCCTCTACTTTTGAATGGAATTACAAATGCATTTTTTAAAAACCACTTCACAATGCCTCCTCTATCTGCCCCTTCCTTCCTAAGGCAAATAAATGGTCAGAAATTTTAGCCTTGACCTTCTGTCACCACCAAGGTCTTCCCACAGGGCTTGTCTTTTTACTTCTGATAGGATATCTTCAAAACTGATCCAACTTCTCTGCTGATCTGAAGTCTGTAGGCACCCAATGCCCTTCAGTTTGAATGACTGCCAATGTGTGCATCAAAATCATTCTAACTGATGTATTCATCAAGACCCTTTCTGCATTCTTTCTGAGCAGCTGTTTCTGTTGTTTATGAAACAGATCCCCTCCTTGAACCTTCCTTTGAAAGGTCTTTCCTTCACCCTTCTTGTCTCACAGGATCAACATATGTTTTCCTTTTCTTGTCTCTTCCTTCTGTAAGACATTCTTCCAGTTATTAAGAAAACAGAACAGAAAACCTAACCCCTTCCTGTCACCTCATCTTACTTTTTCTACCCATCATTCTTGCCTCTTGTTCTAATCCTTCAGCTTTGTCCTATCATATCTCATTTTAAATATTCCAATTGGTGGCTGTTACCATTAACCATGTTTTTGGCTCATGCCAGTAAAGGGAAAGCTGGTCTCAGCCAATCCAGACTTCTACCCTTCTGCCTTCGCAGCGTATCTTTCGTCATCACTACTTCAAACCTTGTCCCCAAATTCTGATTGTCCTGGTTATCCTTACCTATAGTTCTGGGTCTGTTTTTAGAGATTCCAGAAGGCACTATTCAACATACAGAAATGTAT